CACCGTATCCACTGTTAGCGTAACACACCCGCTTTAAGGACACTGACTGCTATTCAATCTATAACAGTGAAAAAAGTTTTTTGTTTTTAAATGCAAGCTAATGTGACACCAGATATGAGTGTTGGCACTGACTGGGCAAATGGGCACCGTATCCACTGTGAGCCTGACACACCCGCTTTAAGGACACTGACTGCTATTCAATCTATAACAGTTAAAAAGGTTTTTTGTTTTTAAATGCAAGCTATTGTGACACCAGATATGAGTGGTGGCACTGACTGGGCAAATGGGCACCGTATCCACTGTGAGCCTGACACAGAAGCTGGCAGCAGTGGCAGACAACTAACTGCTATTCAATCTATAACAGTGAAAAAAGTTTTTTGTTTTTAAATGCAAGCTATTGTGACACCAGATATGAGTGTTGGCACTGACTGGGCAAATGGGCACCGTATCCACTGTGAGCCTGACACACCCACTTTAAGGACACTGACTGCTATTCAATCTATAACAGTTAAAAGGTTTTTTGTTTTTAAATGCAAGCTATTGTGACACCAGTGAGTGAGTGGTGGCACTGACTGGGCAAATGGGCACAGTATCCACTGTGAGCCTGACACAGAAGCTGGCAGCAGTGGCAGACAACTAACTGCAATTACATTACACAAAAAAAAAAAGCATACCCTAACCCTAACCTAGCTATGCATTTCCCTATCTAATCAACAGCAGCTACACTTTCCCTCCTCTCACTAAGCATGCAGCTCGAAAATGAATCTAAAATGGATGCTGTCCATTAGGTGGGAGGGTCTGCTAGGGAGGGTGTGCTGCTAATTGGCTGGAATGTGTCTGCTGACTGTGAGGTACAGGGTCAAAGTTTACTCAACGATGACGGATAGGGGGCGGATCGAACCGCGCATGCGTTTGCCGTCGGCGGCGGACGCGAACACGCTATGTTCGCCGGGAACTGTTCGCCAGCGAACCGTTCGGTGCATCACTAGTTGAGGGTTTTCTACATTATGATTCCAAGTAACAAATTGTTAGACATGCATAGTTATCAGATCCATTTTGGAGTTGTAACATTTGTAACCCAGAGTAGCAGGTTGCTGTTGACAGTATTACTATGAATATGATCTAAACTTTATAATCCATATTTATATTCAGTACTTCAATAACTCTTTCTCTAAGAAGCTACCTGCATTCCTGCATTTAAATGTACACTTGAATCCTGCCTTTTTGTTTGTGTGTATATATATATATATATATATATATATATATATATCTTTAAAAAAATAGAAAATGTATATTAATTTCTTACAATGTCTAATGGTATGGTATATATAATTTGTAGGGCTCTGGGGCTACCTGTCACAGAACATACATTTGAAGACTGCAGGCTCATGTTAACAGCCAGAGAGTTGACTTTACCAATGGAAGCTGGGCTTGTGGAGTTTACTAAAGTCAGCAGAAAGTTGCAGTGAGTAATGTTTGTGTGATGTTTTCTTGTTATTTATATTGATTATTGTATTTGTAAAAAAAAAGTAACATAGTTATACTGCATATGTATTCTGTTTTATAACATTTTTTACATATTCAAAATGAAAAGATGATGATTGCACTGCTTAAATGAGTTTATAATCTAAAGGAACTAAATTTAATCCCAGACTTTTCATGTACATTTACATATGTTTCTTTAGAATTGCTTACAGCGAATTGAAAGTTTACTTTGCATTATTTTGAAACAGTGTGTGATGATTGCCTGTCTTTGACATCTTGCTGCAGATGGCCCACCAGGGGTAATTATTGTCAGTCTTAGGCAGTAACATGTATGAAATCTTACACTTGGATATGTGTTTTAGATTCAACTACAATTAGAAAGAATTCAGGCCACTCAGGGGATTATAAGAAATTCCAATTTCAAAACTGACTCCCTTTTTTGAGTGGGGGCAAATCAGGAGCTTAGTTTCTCTTGAAACTACTGGATCTACTGTTAAAGGGACACTATAGTCACCTGAACAACTTTAGCTTAATGAAGCTATTTTGGTGTATAGAACATGCCCCTGCAGCCTCACTGCTCAATCCTCTGCCATTTAGGAGTTAAATCTCTTTATTTATGAACCCTAGTAACACCTCCCTGCATGTGACTTGCACAGCCTTCCATAAACACTTCCTGTAAAGAGAGCCCTATTTAGGCTTTCTTTATTGCAAGTTCTGTTTAATTAAGATTTTCTCATCCCCTGCTATGTTAATAGCTTGCTAGACCCTGCAAGAGCCTCATGTATGTGATTAAAGTTCAATTTAGAGATTGAGATACAATTATTTAAGGTAAATTACATCTGTTTGAAAGTGAAACCAGTTTTTTTTCATGCAGGCTCTGTCAATCATAGCCAGGGGAGGTGTGGCTAGGGCTGCATAAACAGAAACAAAGTGATTTAACTCCTAAATGACAGTAAATTGTGCAGTGAAATTACAGGGGAATGATCTATACACCAAAACTGCTTTATTAAGCTAAAGTAATTTAGGTGACTATAGTGTTCCTTTAAATCCATAGGTAGCAAAAAAAGATTGATTGTTAGGAGACAGACCTTATATAGTTGCATAGGCTGAAGAGAGACATGTGTCCATCATGTACAGCCTTCCTGTGAGGAACCATATCAAATGCCTTGGCAATGCCTTGGCAAAATCCAACATTGCAACACCTTAAACTATACTTATACTTACTTCTTTGTAGAGTGCAATCAAGTTAGTTTAAGATGACCTATGATTCATAAAACCATGTTGTTTCTTTTGCTGATAACCACATTCTTCAAGGATTTCTTGAATATTATCCCTTAACACCTTTCAAATACTTTCCCAGTAATAAACGTTAAGCTCACAGGTCTATAATTTCCAGGCAAGTATTTTGAAACCCTTTGAATATGCGAACAACACCTGCCTTTCTCCAATCATTCGGTACACTTCCCGAAAGAAAAGAATTTTGAAAGATTAAAAACAGAGGTTCACTTATTTTCACACTTAGTTCCTTAAGTACTCATGGATGAATACCATCAGGCCCTGCAGCTTTGTTTATATTAACTTTCTTTTCTGCAAGTTTTTTTCAGCAATCATTTGCATAGCCATTACCATAGGTTCTTTTTATATATATATATATATATATATATATATATATATATATATATATATATATATATATATATAAAAAGAGGGGTTGGCTGCACTCACCTTAACATGCATAAATGGGGGTGCTGCTAAATAATACAATACACAAGATCCAGCGCACTCACCTATCCACTAAACAGCAACTTCAAAGTTGAAAGATTTTATTTGTTTTTTTTTGTTTTGTTTTTTTTTTGTTAAAAAAAACAAATAAAATCTTTCAACTTTGAAGTTGCTGTTTAGTGGATAGGTGAGTGCGCTGGATCTTGTGTATTATATATATATATATATATATATATATATATATATTTTGTGACCTTTATGGGCAAAGCAACACAGTCCTCTAGGGTAACAGGTATAGAACAACAGTCTCTTATGCAAAGAAGGTGTGGTTTATATCCATGCAGCAATCAGTTTGTTTAAAACTGCAGCAAAACAGAAAGGAAAGTCTACAAACAAAATCCTAGCTCAAATTTGAGCACTTACTAAACATAAAGTAATGTCCCTTACTAATCTACATAAATCAACAAACTAAACATTGGTTTCACCAACCTTTAGCACTTTTTCTAGTGCTGCTCTGCACAGACCTGCTCTCTCTGCAGGTCAGATTGTTTCTCTCCCCTTTCTGCTCTGAGACCTGCTAATTAAAGCCTCAGCAGTTGCTAATTGGGCAGGTGAATGATACAGGCTATGGAGGATTCTGGGTCCTAAATACCTTCCTTCTATTACCCTCCCATAGACTCTGTCACATATCCTCCACGCCAGTTTAGACCCATCGGTCGTAGCGACCTTAGACCACAAACAATGGACTCTGGATAAACCATCTGCATTCCCCTGGTCTATAGCCGGCTTTATGGTCCATAGAGACGTTATATGGCTGAAGACTAAGGAACCACCTAGTTACTCTGGCATTTGTTTCCTTTCCTTGTTTTGTCTCATCCACGTCATGGGCGCATGATTTGTGACAAGTTTGAACCTTCTCCCCAATAGATAATACTTAAGGGTTTCTAGTGCCCATTTTATGGCCAAACATTCTTTCTCAACCACTGAGTATCTCTGTTCATGGGGATTCAGCTCTTTGCTCAGGTACATAATGGGATGTTCTTCTCCTCTGTGTACTTGAGAAAGAACTGCTCCTAGGCCCACATCAGACACATCTGTCTGTACCAAAAATTATTTCATAAAATCTGGGGCAACCAAAATTGGGTCAGCACTTCTCTACCTCGGGAGTCCACTTTATCATAACAGCGCCTTTTGCCTTAGTTAGCTCTGTCAACAGGTTTGCGATCGTAGCAAAGTTATGTATGAATCTACGGTAGTAGCCCACTAAGCCTAGAAATGCCCTGACTTGTTTCTTTGTCACAGGGTGTGGCCAATCCCAAATAGCATCTACCTTACTTTTCTGTGGTTTCAGGAGACCCCTCCCAATAGTGTAGCCCAAATACTTAGCCTCTTCCAAACCTATCGTACATTTGGATGGATTGGCAGTTAGACCTGCATCTCGTATAGATTTTATTACTGCCTGAACTCGGGGAAGGTGTGTTTCCCAATCTGTGCTGTGTATAACCACATTGTCAAGGTAGGCAGCCGCGTATTCACTATGGGGTCTAAGGATTCTATCCATCATTCTTTGGAAGGTGGCAGGTGCACCATGCAACCTGAAAGGTAAGACTTTATAGTGAAATAAGCCTTCTGGTGTGGAAAAAGCAGTTTTTTCTTTGGCCCACTCTGTTAAGGGAACTTGCCAATAACCTTTAGTCAGATCTAATGTAGTCAGATATCTGGATCGTCCTAATCTCTCTATTAGGTCATCAACCCTAGGCATGGGATAAGCATCAAATTTTGATATCTCATTTAATTTTCTGAAATCATTACAGAATCTGATTTCTCCATTTGGCTTGGGTACCAACACTATAGGATTACTCCATTCACTTTGTGATTCCTCGATCACACCTAGCTCAAGCATCTTTCGGACCTCTGCTTTAATGGCTTCTTTTCTGGTCTCTGGGATTCGGTAGGGTTTTAAGTTAACCCTTTTTCCAGGTTCCGTAATTATGTCATGTTCAATAACATGAGTCTTTCCTGGTACTGGAGCAAACACATCCCGATTTCTAGCAACAAACTCTCGGACCTCATTTTTCTGATGAGGTGCTAGAGTGTCAGCAATGTTAACCTCTGGTACTTTGTCTACTTTGGTCTGAGGAACTTTGTCGGTCATGGCCATCAAGACCGCTCTATCTGTCCAGGGTTTAAGTAAATTTATATGGTATATTTGTTTGGGCTTTTTTCTACCAGGTTGTCTCACCTTATAATTCACCTCATTGACTAGTTCAGTGATCTCGTATGGGCCATGCCAGTTTGCAAGGAATTTACTTTCTACTGTGGGGATTAGTACCATAACCCTGTCTCCGGGTTGAAAGACCCTAAGTCTAGCATTCCTGTTATAACTAGCTTTCTGGACTTCCTGTGCTCTCTCCATATTTCCCCTGACAATTGGCATTATGGCCTCAATGCGATCCTGCATTTGTGCCACATGTTCAATGACACTCCTATGGGGCGTGTGTTCCTGTTCCCATGTTTCCTTCGCAACATCTAGGAGACCTATAGGATGTCTACCATATAACAATTCAAGAGGTGAGAACACTGTGGAAGCTTGAGGGACTTCTCTGATAGCAAACATTAGATATGGGAGCAAACAATCCCAATTCTTACCATCTTTATCAATTACCTTACGGAGCATTGCTTTCAAGGGTTTATTAAATCTTTCCACTAACCCATCAGTTTGTGGGTGATGCACTGAAGTTTTTCAATTGTCTAATCTTCAACAAGTTACATAGCTCTTTCATCACTCGTGACATAAAAGGGGTACCTTGGTCTGTAAGTACTTCTCTAGGTATTCCAACCCAGCTGGACATAAACATTAACTCTCTGGCAATGGTTTTAGTTGAGGTATTTATTAAAGGTATAGTTTCGGGATAGCGGGTAGCATAATCTAGTACTACAAATATAAATTGGTGCCCCCTAGCGGATTTAAGTAAAGGACCAACCAGGTCCATAGCAATTATTTCAAATGGGACTTCTATGATGGGAAGAGGAATGAGGGGATTACGGAAAGCTTGGAATGGAGCCTTTCTTTGGCATTCTGGGCATGACTTGCAAAATCGCTCTATAGCAGAGTAGATTCCTGGCCAGTAAAATCTTCTTAGTACTCTCTCCCTGTTTTTTTCAATCTCAAGATGCCTCCCTAATACATGGCTGTGAGCTAGTTTTAAGACTAGGTTCCTCTTCAACCCCCCCTCCTCTCCACTCGGTAAAGTAAATTATTTCTTTCTGCAAAATAGGGAAGGGACAATTGGGTTTCTGGGTTAACAGGAGTACCTTCCACTACCTGAACATTGTTATGGGCAGCTACCATGGTTTGATCCTCTCATTGGGCAGCCCAAAAATTTCCTGAACTAATACCTAGATGATGGAACTCCACCTCTTTCCTTAGATTTTCTACTTGGGAGGAAGCATTTTCATTGTGTTCCTCTTCCTCACTCAAACTGTACCTGCGTTGGAGTGATAGCATGGATCACTGATTCTACTGTGTGACTTATTTAGCTTCACACTGTAGAAGAACTGTGTATAAATATAGGTATGGGTAAGCACTAAGCAACCAATGTTGGGTTAATGAGGCAGCAAACATTGTAAACCAGTAAAACTACCTTTAACCACTTATAACAAATACATATAGACTAGACAGGAAAACACAGGTTGTGCCAAAATCCAACAAATATCTAAAAATTGTGAAAAAAAAAATCAAACCAGATAAAGTCCACCATTCATTGTACTCTGTTTTTAAGCCAATGTTCTACCCAAGAACAAGCATGTTCATGTAGACCAATGTCTTTGAGTTTGAACACTAATCTGTTGTGTTGAACTGTATCAAATGCCTTGGCACAATCCAAATAGATCACATCCACTGCAACACCCTGATCTATACTTCTACTTACTTCTTTGTAGAATGCAATCAAGTTATTTTGACATGATCTGTGCTATCAGAATTTAGATATCTTAGCACACCAAAATGCACCATGTCTCAACCTAAACAAGAGGCATACATCTAAAGCCGACAACATAAACTGGCTGCGCGGACACAGCAACAAGATGGCAGAGATGACTCTGACAGTGGCGGCCCACTACTCGACATGGCTGACCAAGCGGTGGAAGAAACCGTCATTAAATAATTCCTCCTAGACCAGCATGAAGCCTTATCCCTTAAATTGATGGCCGGCTGGATGTCTGGCCTGGCAGACCTGAGAAAAGACATAGGAGAACTAGGCGCCCGTCCTCCCATGTGGAGGAAAGGATGGAAGAGTGCCGGGAAGCACACAATCACTTGTCAAACCAGGTACAAACCCTGCAATCCACTGTTCCTGAAACAGTAGCACCGGCGGATCTACAAGTCTACCTTCATGAATTCTTCCACGCACTGTCACCTGATATCCTGTATGCTATACTGCTCCTGGAGAGAGCGCATCGAGTGCCTAAGCCTAGACACCTCCCGGACTTGGTACCTTGAGATGTGATCTTGTGTGTCCACTACCACCACGTGAAAGAAACCTTACTGAAACAAAGCAGAGCCAACACAAATATATTCCCGGATCTGTCAGCTTCAACGTTTAGGAGGAGGAAGGCATTCCAGCCAGTCACCAGCATCCTCAGGCAGCATCAAGTGGCCTACCGGTGGGGATACCTCCTCAAGCTAATCACCTCCAGGAATGGCACCACAGAGACTATACTCACACCAGAAGAAGGAGAAAATCTTCTCTGCAAGTGGAACCCGCCCCGGCCGAGCACGCAACCACATGACAACACCACGGTATCAAGAGAGTGGAAGAAAGTTTAACAACCATAAACTCCATGCGACTAACCATATTACCTCATATCAGGGCTGGTAATGTATTTTTACATCAGACTTACACCACGGATATGCCGCCTTAACTCACAGGAACCCTGAGACGCTGAGGGCATTTCACCTCACATACCAATAATTACTTTATAACGTTTCTACTCCACTTACTAACACCTAACAGCAGCAGGTTTTGAAACACAGAAAACCCCACTCTGCCTACACAGGCAAGAAACGTTGACATGAAAACACAACACACAAACAAACAAAACAATAAATACTTATTTTAGTTTTTATAACATAAATTGTTTTATGTTCCACACTGTCAGACCTCTATTTTGAAACCCCACTGACACTCTAACGCCTGCAC